ACAAAAACACATTTCAAAAACGTATACTTTTAAACTCTTCTAAAAGTGGAAAATAAGTTCTCAGTTTCTCTGTGTCAGACACATATTAATTGAATTGTTTTGCAATTTAATGTAAAGCATTTCGGATATTAATCTTTTAAAAAAGTACGCTTCCATGTCTAAAATTTGAGCATTTTGCCAATCAAAATTGTGGCCAGTGTCTAATCTGTGTTCCGTTATTACACAGAAAAATTATTGATGTTTCTGTTTATCTGTGTTCCGCTATTTTTGTCTTCAACTTTCTCTTTGTTTGTCCTACATATGTACATTCGCAATCCATACAATTAATCTGATGAAGACATTTTTGTCATTGTCAAAATCTAACGGATCTTTAAGAACTTTAATATATAAAGCTGTTACACACTGTAATAAAGTTTATTTTCATTAAGTATATTTTGACTTATAAGAGTTGAATATTAGAATATTGTCGGTATTAGCATTATCTATTGACGTTATCATTAATTTCAAATGTTGCTTTATCCAAAAAAAACTATGTTGAATAAGAAGTTAGGTTCTTTGTTAATTCTCTGCATCGTGAACTCACAAAATTCGTTTTGATCGAAATCATCTTCGTAGCAAAAGCATCGACGGTACTCTAATATTCAACCCTCATAAGTCAAAAAGTACTTAATGAAAATAAACTTTATTATAGTGTTTTGGGAAACTCGTGAATTAGGCTATAAGAATCTGTAATAAAACGAGGAAGTTCTATTAAAAAAAATTGATGTGATCTTGACTTAACCTTGGCAACGCAATCCAAAATCACAGTAATACAATCTCAATAAATAGACCTTTTTAAACCATACTACTTTCGTCTGAAACACTTTTCTGTAAACCTGATATTTTCTGAGATATTCAGGTGTTCCTTCGGTGCTTTTTTTCCACTTTATACATAGGAAGCACCACGTGCGGCTTCAGGGGAAGTATTTTACGGAAATTTTTCCTTTGACTGCTTCTATTATCTGCCAGCAGCCCGAGACCGAAGGAGAGTGCGCAGTAATAGGAGCAGCTAGAAAAAAAATTTCCGAGAAATACTTCCCCTGGAGCCGCACGATATGATGCTCCCTACTGTACATATATATATATACATATATATATATATATATACAAAATACGCGACAAACATTCAGCGTATGGCTCTAATTGGCTGAAAATCTTACGTTGTTTAAATTTCAAGAGCCTTAAAACTCTTTATTAAAGAAATATTGTAATCCTGAGGGGAATCATTAAAAATTTCTTTATCCTTTATTCTTTATTTTTTTAATACTTGCACAAGTTTATTGCAAACAAAAGCTTTCTCGCCTTATTTTTATTCTGGACACGTCGCGTTCCCCTGCATTGTGTCATTACTCTTTAAAAAAGATCATGTTCTAGGTAAAAAAAAGATCATCGTATTAGCAACAAAACCAAATGCTACGCGACAAATTTGTCGGACAAATATCTCTGTCTGTGTAATAATCGCGTATCAAGCACTTTCGAGAAGGCGTACTTTCAAGAAATTTAGATTGAAACTTATCGATACGTACGCGCGTATCAAAAAAATACAAGGTTATTTATCCCCGTTCTGTCATCAGCAAATTTAGTCGGTGCGAAGTGCCGACTTTCAATTCGCAAAAGTTCGCACGATTGCATTCGCGCGACTGATAAAAAATACTTTCGCGGCTCAAACATCAATTGCTAGGAACAAAACTAATGACTCCCGCATCTTGTCTGTCTGACAATTCTTGAACTGTTTAATTGTGAATAACCTTTTTACACAAAAATCTTGAAGAAGAATTCCGCCACTACCTAACGATATTATCTAAAAGAGATAATTTATCGTTGCGCGACAAGATTTCAACGTTGTTTCGTAAAAAAAAGATATAAAAGACAGATATTTTTGATGTTCAGTTTTGCGATATCTAATTTTTAGACTTAATCACTTACGTGATCTGTTTCAACCTCTCTTACGGTTTATCTAAGATACTTAAAAATTTACGAATTTACGAAAGCAAACAATCTACGATAAAATATCTCATAAAAATATGTAGCAGAAAAAAAAACAGTAAGATATATAGTTTCTTCAGATTGCTCTCACGCGCGGTATAATTATTGAAAATGAAATATAAAAATAATTTTCTTGAAATTTTTGGTCAGGAGTTTTTTTTAACGCGTGATATTGATTTCGCTTCCGATATCCTTATACCGCTTAGGTTTTTCTTACATTGGGTGTTTTTTTCCACTTACGCGTACACACATAGTGTTCATTAGTGTGAAACACAATGATATGCTTTTCTTGAAACTAACAGACGCTGTTATCATACACACATTATAATGTCGCCTGTGGAAACGTAGCTAGAAAGCATTTTATGCGTTTTATATTAGTTACACAGCGAAAGATGGAGTAGTATTTGTAATATGCATTATTTTTGAATTTAATGGATTACAAAAGATAACCTTTTTCAATATCTCTTTAATATTATCAGAAAGATACCTACTTTGCCTGCGCTCTCACAGATTACATAAATTAAAAACAAATCCTCGGTGGAGCCTAACAGGGAAGGCGACAGCCCGGAAAGCCGGAAATTCCAGGACTCCTGACTAAAGAGCTTTTTTCGTAATATTTTAAATCAGTTTAGAGGCGTATTCAGGGTTCTTCATATACGAGATGCAAAGCTAGCATCCTATAT